CTGGGTCCTTGAGGGCTTGGCACAGCAGAGCTTACTCTCTACCTTTGTGCTGAACACCTGCCTCCAGGACAACTTATTAGAGAGCCAGGGAAAAGGACCAGGCAAAGGCAGATCATTTCCTTAGATGTCAGTTTTGTATTGGATTTCCTTTCTTTGAGTTGTTTGCTCCTTTCCATCCTTTCAGATTTCTGGACCCAACTATCTTCAGTGCCCATATTGGAAGCCCTAGCCCCAATCAGTCACTGGAACTTAGTTTCCCCACTAGTTTCTGAAATTGGTGACTAACCCCAGTACTTTCACTGAGTTAAGGGTGGGAGAAGCCTGTGAAACTAAGGTGTGTCCTAGCAAGGTTGCAGAGAATAAACCTGACCAGCAGGAGTGTGAAGATCCATTTGAAGAAAGCGAGGCACCACTCACTGCTTGAAATGGAATATGAATCCCCTAGCCAGTGGTTCTCAAACTTTGGCTTATAGCACATATCCTGGAGGACATGTTAAAAGACTAATTGTGGAGCTCTGCCCTCAGAATTTCTGATTCAGTAGGTCTGGAATGGGGCCTGAGAGTTTGCATTTCAAACAAGTTTCCAGGTGATACTGATGCTGCTAGTCCAAAGACTACATTTTGAGAAACAAGATCTTGTATAGCACACAAGGGAATGGAGGGAAATTTTGCCAGCTCAGGCTCTCTAAGGGATCTAAAGGAATAGATTTCACTTTTCTGTTTTTCCCCAGTCCCACTGATCCCCATTCAGTGTACCCATCACAACAGAGGTGGAAAGAACCTGCCTTCCCGCCCCTCTAGGTCTGAATCAGCTTTCTAGGTCAGAATCAGCTCTTACCTTGCCCTTAAGGGAAACAGGAAAAAAGTGGCTTGATTGCAGGAATTTTGGAAAGGGGGGGATTTTGTCCCAAATTATCACCTTCTTTACCTCTCTGAAGGCATAACATTGCTTTAACAAGGGAAAAGCTTTTCTTTCCACAATTAGAGCTAAGGGTTAAAGGGTAAATATTAGGTTATTAAGTATGGAATGTCCAATTTCCTTAAGTACTAAAATTGATAGTTGATATCTCTGACATTTCACTTTGACACTTCTTTTTTTCTTTATTGTGAAGGTACATTCTCATTCATTCAAAAACATGTTTTGGCTTTGATTATCTTTCAAATTTTTTTAGAACAATTTTTGTGAAACCATGGATAAGTCAAAAATTCATGTTATTTTTTAATATGAGTTCCATCATGGAACCAATGTAGCACAGACAGCTTAAAATATCAAAGAAGTGTTTGGGAAGGATATGGCTAATGAACACACAGTACTTCGATGGTTTGAGGTTCTATTGTGGTGATTTTAACCTTGAAAATGAGCTATGTGGGTGACCTGAGATCAAGGTGGATAATGATGAGCTGAAAGTTGTCGTGGAAGCGAATCCAGCAAGGTTTGACATTACTATTCCAACAATATTGGACTATTTGAAGCAAATGGGCAAGGTAAAGAAGCTGGATGGATGGGTACCGCATGAATTAAATGAGTATCAGAAATCATCTGGAAGCTTGCCTTTCTTTGCTGTCATAAGGTGAAGTATTTTTATAACGTATTGTTATATATAATGAAAAATGGGTTCTTTTTGACAATGGCAAGCATTCAGCACAATGGTTGGATAAAGATGAAGTGCCAAAACACAGTCCAAAACTGAATATTCATCAACAAAAGTTAATGGTGTCTATTTGGTGGTCCAGCGCTGGTATTATTCACTACAGCTTCACGAAACCTGGCCAATCAATTACAGTGGATGTCTACTGCAACCAATTGGATGAAATGATGAGGATGCTTGCAATTAAGCAGCTGAGATTGGTCAGTAAGACAGGCCAATCCTCTTGCAAGACCACATGTCACAAAAAACAACACTGCTGAAACTATACAAGCTGGACTTGGAAACTCTCTGTCATCCACTGTATTCACCAGACCTTGCACCACTGGACTAGCACTTTTCCCAGGCTTTGGATCACTTCTTGCAAGGAAAAATATTCAATTCTCAACAAGCTATGGAAAATGCCTTTTATGATTTCATCACCACTCACTCTGCAAGCTTCTTCACTGCTGGTGTAAGCAATCTACTGGTAAGATGGCAAAACTGTGTCAATAGTTTTAGGTGCACACTTTGATTAATTGTACTATTTGAGATATAATAAACTTTTGATTCAAAATCGGACATTTCATATTTAATGAGCTAATAGCTTTGGGAAAAGCTAACACTGGGTTACGTTCTCCTGTGCAAGGGATTCTTTGCAGAGACACTATGTTGGGGTGGAAAGGGGAGGATACTTAGAATAGGATACACGTACCACAGTTGGGAAAATGTGACAGGTTCCTCAAGATAAATGTCCCTGTTTTACATTTTGTCCAAAGAGAACACAGAGACATTTTTTTATTTAGACGGGATAGGGTAGACATGTGGCAGAAGAGAGTTGTGAACATGAAAGTTTGAAGCTGATTCCCTGTGGGAAAAATTCAGATCTATTCACTCATCTGATGGCTGTTGCTTGTTTTATTTTTTTGTCCAAAGAAGGTGGTGTTGGACCGAGGTAGAGAAGACAATGGTACACAGAAATGACCCAAAGGATTGCCCCTTCTGCAGAAGGTTCTTAGACTCCATGATGCCTTTCAGCTGGGTGCTATAACTGCACCTACACTTCGGGGGCTTCACTTTCTATCCCCACATTTACTAAAACAGATAAAAGGTTGGAGTTAACATGTAATTATTAGGAGGTATGATCTGATGGCAAGGAATATCACTTCCCACAAGTCCTTAAAACAAGGTCTGTGAGAAGCTGGATCTTTCAGCATGTCAGATCTTTAAAAAAATACAGAGTAGAATGTAAGCAATACCTTTCTAGTCATTAAATACTAGACTCCATCCTTATACCCTGATGCTTCTGGTACCTTAGTCCTTAAAATATTTGATGATACTTAACTTGTAATTCTTGACACAAATATATGACAATTTTGGGTCAGGGTAACTCCCTTTCTTTGAAGCCAGTTTAGTCATTTCATGGATAGGCTGAACCTGCTAAAAGTATATGCAAACTTGAGTGACCTGCAAATGTCTAGTTTTCTCAAAAGTGGGTTTCTGGTCTCTATCAGATTCGCCAACAGGTCTGTGATCCAAGACAGGTTCTGAACCATTGCTTATATAGAGCTGATTTGTATTCAAGACTTATATTAAAATAGGAGACTAAAGGAAATGGCATAGTCCAAATTTATTACTGGGACCCACACTCTCCTTTTCCCAGGAGCATCTCTTCAACTGGTCCTAAAATGCTCCTGTCTTTGAGGACGTAGGGCAAGGTCTACCTTACAAAGGGCTGGCCATTTTGCTATTTTCATAGGAACATAAGCAAGAGAACTGCATTCTAGGCAAAGAAAGATGGCTCTGAGTAGCAGAAGGGAGGTGGGAGCTTGGCTGCTCAAGTCACATATATTCTCAGAAGCCCCGTCAGCAGAATGACCCTATTTTAATTCCAATTAGGTCCAGGACTCTGAGAAGCTGCAGTTTGCCCAGTTTTTCCTAAGTAAATGGGACAGTCACTAAACTAGGTTGCTGTAGCTCACTTACTCTTGCTTCTCTGGTTCATTCCACCAATTGTGGCTAAGAAAAAAGTATCTTAGGGAAAAATCCAAATCTAAGCATTAAAGAGCAAATATCCCACTTTCATCCTTTTTGCTCCTCTTCCTAACCCCAAACTGCTTTTACATAAAAGATAATTTTTTAATTATAAGATTTGTATTAACACAACCATCAATAAATAGAAACAATGACCAAGTCATCAACTAACAGATGCTAGAATACTTATACAAGTCCCAAGGAGTTAATAGTGTGGACGCCTTTCCAGAATTGGGAGGAAAACCAAGCACAAAGTTCATTACCCTGCATCAGCTGAAAAGCTAAGCCACAGCCATTTCCCTTAAAGTTCTGTTTCTGTGAGAATGAGATAGTAAAGAATACCTCTTCCCCCTTTATGAGGCAATCAGAGTCAAATAAGAGTGATGACAACAACTTGCAAACACTGTGATTCCTGTCCTAATTTCCCAGCACATAAAACAAAACAAAAAATCCCACTCAGCACAAAGCTTCTATATGCACCTTGCCTGAAATCAACAAGAAACAGCTCACCTCACTGAAGATTTCTCTTTCTGTCTTCTCCTAGGTAAAAACATTCTGCAGCCCAGAGATTTAGATCGAGACATATACATCCACAATTGTCTTGATCTCAGTGATACTGAGGAAAGCTTTGTACTCAACTGCCACAACTTAACCCATCATTTAACATTTAACCCTTTCCACTAGGGCTCCCTTAATCACTCAGATTATTTGCTATCTTGAAACAAAACAAACAAAAAACCCCATACAATCCCCACTACCCTTATCCCCAGAACACAGCCCCTAGAAAACCTAGCTTGTATAGTTTTCACTTAGCATGCTCTCTTCAAAGACCTGCACACATAGACACATAGACACATAAAGACACAGTCAAGAGGAGGGGTCTGTTCAAGGAGATAAAAGTTTTTTCTTCTGTATGGGCCTGGGTTACTTGGGAGTAGTAGGTCCATCTCTTAGCATTGTTGTGTGATCTCTCAGTTCCATGTATGTATGTGCAGGATGAAGGGAGTAGGAATAAGGGGGTGAACAGGTTATTCTTTCTGTTTTTCGTCAGGTGGGGGTGAGATGTGTAGATGTATATAGATGATCGGGATAAGAGTGACAGACTCACACAGGAACAAGGTCTGGCCCCCAGGCTTTCATATGGATAAAAAAAGGGGGCTCTGGGTACCTGATCACTATCTCTTCTTGGTTCTTCATTACTCTCTAACCCAGTGTTCACCAGAATGTGTTTCATGGAGTCACCAGTTCTGTGGGATGTGAAATAGAAAGGATACCAAAGCCAAATAAATTTAGGAAACACTGCATTAAAAGAAGCTTTGCAGTATGCTCTATTGCATGAGGTTTCAGAGCCTTTAATATGATAGAATGATCTTTCTGTGTATATATAGAAAATATAATAGTTACAGTATATAAGGGTGATACTCAAAATTTAACAATTGGTATGGCACAGAATCCAACCAATCAGAATGGACTTCAGCCATAAACTGCTGGTACCATTGTATCCTTGAGAATGGGTTCAGGCTGAATATCAGCCCATGTAGTATGCACTGTTTCCCAAAAGTTTTGCCCAAAGGACTCTGGTTTTATGTGGTGTCTCACAGAACTGGTGAGAAATGCCCTGGCCAATGCTGGGACCTCACCTTTCTAGGGATGGAGTCAGGGCTCATGATTCTGGCCATTAGGGTATAGGAGAGGGGCAGCTCTGGCAGTGACTCCTGGTAGCACCAGCTGATAGACTTGACCATAGCATGGCAGAAACAGATTTCAAAAGACAGATGTCCCTCTGTCCCAGCTGCTCCGGGGACTTTGTCCCTGGTGGGTCAGCAGGTGCCTGTCCAGGTGATGTTTGCGGCCAAAGCTCTTCTCACAGCGAGGGCACTGGAAGGGCTTCTCCCCAGTATGGGTCAGCCAGTGTCTCACAAGGTGGTGCCTTCGGCCAAAGCTCTTCCCACATTCAGTGCACACATGACACTTTGGCACTGGTGGGGCACGCTGCCGTTTCCTTGCCCCAGGGCTCTCTCCAACCTCTTGGCCCTTGCAGGATTTACCTTCTGCATGCACTCTCTGGTGGCTGGCCAGATGGGAGTTGCATCGGAAATTCTTGCCACACTCAGAGCACCTGCTGGGTTTGTCATGTAGGTGGGTTTTCTGGTGCCTGATTAGGTGATGTCTTCGCCCAAAGCTCTTCTCACACTTGAGGCAGCTATAGGGCCTCTCCCCAGTGTGTGTTTGCTGATGCCTGGCAAGGTGGGAGCCCCACACAAACTGTTTCCCACACTGGGGGCATGTGTGGGGTCTTAACAGGGAATCCATCTCTGTGCTACATAAAAGGTTTGAGAAGCTATCTTCCTGAAGAAAAGGGGGACCCAGGAGCATTCCTCTAGAACCCCTGGGCATGGAATCCCAGCTCTCATCCTGCTCTGGGTTCCACAGAACAGTATCTTCAGACACACTGGATAACATTCTGGGAGGTTCTGCTTCTAGTTCAGGGGTATCTCCCTCGTGTTCACTTCCATCTCCTGTGGAGAAGGTAAAATACCGACCCCAAGAGGGGAGTTACAAGAGAGTATGCCAGGACCTAAGTCACAAGAGAAGTTGTATCAAGTCTGTCAGGGCCCAAATCTCACCCCAGAAAGGCTGAGAGAACATATTCTAATATTGTACAAGATAATGCAATGGATGTGGAGGTTAAAAGTCTAGGCTTAGAAGGCAAATTACCCAAGTGGGAATCTCAAATTTTCCCACTTAACATCTCTAAGCCTTCATTTCTTCTATAAAATGGGAATAATAACACCTTTCTCTCAAGGTTGTTATAAGACAGATAGCACAACATCTGCACATAGTAAGCACTCAGTAAATGGTATATGCTATTGTTATTATTTATTACTATTATTTATATACTACTATTTATTACTATTCACTGCCATCTTCCTGCCTAAGCATAGATGGAGAAAGTTGAGGAATATGTGTTACAATCATCATTGGCTCAGTGACCACCTGTCAGCAACACTGGAGCCGTTGTGAAAGGCATTCCTGAAATGGGTGGGAGGTTGAACAACAACAGCATCAACAATAACAACAACTAACATTTATTGAGTGCTTATTTTGTGCTTGGCACTGTTCTACCATTCTAATATGTTAATATATTTAATTCTCACAATAATTTATAGATGAGGAAACTAAAGAGAGGTTAATTACTTTTCCAAGATCCCACATATATAGTCCAGAATTCTAATCCACAAAGTCCAGAGCCTGTCCTCTCCTCTAAACCATTCTGCTATACTGCCTTGCTTTTGAAGATTTTTAATCCTTTTGACTCTGTAACTATCTGAGGGAGAGGAGAAATTAGAGGACTACGTAATGATGACACCCCAAGAGAGGTGAAGGCAGTGGCTAAAAGTCTATTTTAGGTCCTCACCTGTATATGTGACCCTCAGAATGTCCCTCTCCTCTAAGTCTTGGGAGTCAGGGACCCATTGTTCTTCTCCTCCTTCTAGTTGAGAAAGCATGTCCAGTTTGGGAATTGGAAATCCTGCCCATAGGAAAGGAAAATAGAGATGCCAATTAGTTCAACAGTAATTCTCTATTTCTGAAAACTCTATATAAAAGAAGGCCAGATACAAACCTCTCCTCACCCACTATTTCTGTTAAATCCTTCTTCTTTGCCTAGAAATTCACACTCTTCTTCCCAATGAGCCTGTTCTCTTCCAAATACTTTAAGCCCATTGTCCTTTGTGGTCATAACTTCACTGTAGTCCTACTATAGCTGTTCCACCCCCAAGCCTCCATCTTCCTCTAGATGGTTTCTAAGTTTCCAAGGACCCAGTTCCAGATGTCCCTTTCTCTGCTTTGTACGAACCTCCCAATTCCCAACCAAGAAGAGCCTCAAGTTCTTTAGCCCATAGTTCAGCATTATTTGCTATAGTTTTTTTTACATGATGCTTTACTCCTATTCTCTTGAGATTATCCCTAGTGTTCTTTCTTTAGTAGAAGCCTAGATAGATTCCCTGCCAAGGAAAGGATCCTAGACAGTCACTATCCAACAGCTCTAAAGCAGATGGCTCTGTCCTCCCAGAATACAATCTTTTAGCAGCTGGGGAAGGTCATGCTTACTCAGAGATACTACTATCCCACAGTTTTCCTGCATGACATATTCTCCATAAAAGTCTGTCTGAGAGGGGTCCAGGCTCCGCCACTCCTCCTGAGAAAAGCACAGTGACACATCCTTGATGGTTACCAGGCCCTGAAACAAAATGTAGCATCCTCTGTCAGCAGCTGATTCTTAAGGAAAATGTGATCTCTGTATAAAAGGCTGAGGTAGTAGAGGAGATAGGGCAAGAAAAGATCTAGGAAAATAATTGCCCAGAGTCCCCAGGTAGGGCATACAGTTTTGGTAAAGGGGAAATGAAGAGAGGAGTAAAGGCAGATGGTCAAGAGTGAGTGACGATAACCTTGCTAGAGAAGTTTCCTAAGTGGGACTATGAGAAGTTGGAGGCAGCACAAACTCATCACCCCCTCTGTTTAACTACAGATATCCACTCGGTCTCTTCTCACCTGCCTTACTTTTTATTGTGGAAATTCTTTACCTTCTCTTCCTTCCTCCATTTGACCTTTCCTTTTCTATCAGTACAAAATAATACAGATATAACATTCTGTCTTGCCTCTTTTGCCACATCAAATATCCTTATCTTTTTAGGCTGCACAGTATGGTAGTTAGGAGCTCAGAATCTAAAGCCAAATGACTCTTAGCTTTGCCACTTACTAGCACTATGATCTTATACAAGTGCCTTAATCTCTCCCTGCCCCATTTTCTCACCTGTAAAATGGGATAATTGAGTTGTTCTCAGGATTAAATGAGTTAAAATACATAAAGCACTCAGAAAAGAGCATGCATGGTAAGCACTCTTGGAGTATGCTCCTATTAGTACTAGTATTATTAGTATCTTTCCATGGCTCTCCTATTGCCTTCTAAATCTAAACCTATTTCCCCTCTCTGGCTCTGCCTCTCTTTATATCTTTCTTTCTTCTTCTTCTTTCTCTTTTTTTTCCCCTTGAGACAGAGTCTTGCTCTGTTGCCTGGGCTGCAGTGCAGTGGTGTCAGCCTACCTCATAGCAACCTCAAACTCCTGGGCTCAAGCGATCCTCCTGCCTCAGCCTCCTGAGTAGCTGGGACTACAAGTGCATGCCATCATACCTGGCTAATTTTTTCTATGTTTAATACAGTCAAGGTCTTGCTCTTGCTCAGGCTGGTTTTGAATTCCTGAGCTCAAGCAATCCTCCCACTTCAGCATCCCAGAGTAGTAGGATTATAGGCATGAGCCAATGTGCCCAGCCCTCTTTCTTTCTTCTTGTCCATAAATGCTCCATCATCTACCCGGTCCTGTCCACTTTAGGTTCTTCTAAGCTTTCTTCAGGTCCTCTTTTCTTAATCTTTCTAGATTTATTTCTCAAAGGAAACTAATTAATTGTTCTTAAAATCCCCTGTAGATAACACACAGCCATCCATTTAAAAGCCCTAACATCAAGGAATTCTCTCTTCTTGTTATGCTTCCATTTAATTTTCCAAGGGTCTTGTGAGCTCCTTGGAAAGGGATGGAATCTATTCAGTTATAAGATGAACATACTATATTGGTGATCATGTGAACTAACAAATCAATGAGATGATGCTAAAGCCACAGAAAGTCAGCAGCAATGTGACCTTAGAAGAGGCCAAGGGAAGCAAAGCCCACCTGTGATCCGGCCGCAAGAAGTGCAGCTGCCATTTCCCAGTCTCCAGTGCTCCCCTCCTGAGGAATTGTAGGAACCCAGGGAGCAGACTGAGCTGGAGAGGGGAGAGAGGAACCATTAGAGATGAACTATCCACCCTGTTCCAGTAAGAGCCAGGCCCCCATTTTAGAGGGTCTTAAGGTCACATCTTCTCCTATATCTATTCCCATTGGTAAAACTCAAACGCATAAGTGTAGATGAAGAGGCTATCACTCAAAATGTTCTGTAAGGGTATTAGGTGGCTTTTAGTTAGACTAGCTTTGGTTTAAATTTATATTACTTGAATGTAATTCTCATCTAGTAAAGTGCATCTTACCGGGTATGTTCTCCAACAGTAATCAGTGTTGCTGTCACTTCCTTCATCTCCAAATTCAGTATCACTAACTACACACTTGCATGCTGAGAGAGGGATTATGCAAGAAATTGGAGAAGCCCTATTTACATGGTTTGGAGAATTCAGGAGCCTATTCTATACCTGTAACCAGGGCCCAGGAAGAATGGACTAATCCTGGTATATGCTCTTCAGTCCATGGCAATTTGGAGATTTTTAGCTCTACTTTTTGAACAGAGATTAGGAGACTACTCCATGCATTGTGCTTCCCACACACCCTATGGGTTCTCACCCTTTTCCTGAAGGGACTGTGGCTCCTCTTCAAGGTCACAACAAAGGTGCTCCAGTGGCCCTGGCGCTGTTCTCCATGGCCCCTCTTCCTGGCCTCCCCTTTCCACTTGGGGCTCTGTTCCATCCAGTTGTACATTCATTGACTCCCATCCTGTCCCCAAGGCTGCTGTCTGTTCTGAAAGCATTTTTGCTGCAAACCCAAATTGTGACCTAGAACAAATTCATATCAGCTATGCCCATGAAAATGGAAAGGGTGATATTCCTAAGGAAGTTATGGAGAACAGCCCCAGGGATGACAGATGAAACTAGATAGGAGGAGCTTGATGGAAGATGAACTTTAAAAGCTTGATGTGTTCCAATCAACGGAGCCTGAGCCAAACTTCTTGGAGGAACTAAGAAATTGGCAGGTGCCACATAGCAAAGTCACTAGCTGTTATTTTAGGAACTTCATGGTAGAAACAGAATATTCCTTTCTTTTTTTTTGAGACAGAGTCTCACTCTGTTGCCCAGGCTAGAGTGAGTGCTGTGGCATCAGCCTAGCTCACAGCAACCTCAAACTCCTGGGCTCAAGCAATCCTCCTGCCTCAGCCTCCCAAGTAGATGGGACTACAGGCATGCATCACCATGCCCGGCTAATTTTTTCTACATATATTAGTTGGCCAATTAATTTCTTTCTATTTTTTTTTTTTTTTTGAGACAGAGTCTCGCTTTCTTGCCCAGGCTAGAGTGAGTGCCGTGGCGTCAGCCTCGCTCACAGCAACCTCAAACTCCTGGGCTCAAGCGATCCTCCTGCCTCAGCCTCCCGAGTAGCTGGGACTACAGGCACGAGCCACCATGCCTGGCTGATTTTTTTATATTATATATATTAGTTGGCCAATTAATTTCTTTCTATTTTTATGGTAGAGACGGGGTCTCGCTCAGGCTGGTTTTGAACTCCTGACCTTGAGCAATCCGCCCGCCTCGGCCTCCCAGAGTGCTAAGATTACAGGCATGAGCCACCGCGCCCAGCCCAGAATATTGATGAAGGCTGGAAGAAGTTCATTTAAAAAAAAATCCTGGAAATTCAAAAACTACCCATTTAATTTGAACCATTGAAAAAGTACAGAAAGTAAGCAATTTGGAAACATGCAGGAAAGAATACACTAGACCTGCACTCAACAAAGATGGATGTAATCATACATAAGATTTTCTGCTACAAATCACATTCTCATTAATTAGTTTAGAATGAAATGATTACTACAGGTAGAAGTCCCAGTCAAGGGGGGTATGGGTGTCATGAGCACATACCTCTTTTATGAGGCTAAACCAAATGGTACCTCACTTAGGACAAACCTCAACAAAGAGACACATGATCTGTCACTCTCATATAGAAAATGACAACTGGTAGTAAATATGGTAGAAAGACTAGCGACTTGAAAAGTGGGTGTAAGACTCCAAAGCAACTCTTAACAGATGAGAAATTGTCAGTGGGGAGCTGATATCTAATTGGGAATAGTAAAAAAGAACTTTCTGGGTTTGAACCAGAGGTGGCAAAAAGGGGAAGGAGCACTGCTAACATGACCCTGGGGTAAATTAATAGCTGTGAGATTTGAGACACAGGAACAAACTTGTTTGTTTGGCAGGCACCAGTCAGATCTCATTAGAAAAGTATATTCAATTTTAAAGAAGGGTATGGAGAAGCCAGTGTGTTCATCAGAAGAAATGAAAGTCAAGAAAGGGATGGGAAATACAGCCATTAGAAGAGTTAACGATGGACATAGTTTTCTCTAGTCTTGAGAAGGCTGATGAATGATACTACAATGAATAAAAAGAGATCAAAAAGAAGAAATGGAATTTTGATTGAAAGAGAAGAGATTTAGGTTAAATAAAAAAAAATCTTAATAGTCATGTAATGCACAAGACCAGATTGTGGGCTTTTCTTTTCTTTGGACATCTTAAGAGCAGGACAGATCTCACTTGTGTTGTGATAGGGGCCTCCCTGCCTTATGGAAGAGAAATAGTCTACTATGAGACTGTGCAGAATCTCTTTCTGCTTGGCAACATATTTTTGTGATTCTTATTCAATATCCAAGCAGTCAGAGCCAGTGAAAGGCTTCCAAGAACAGGTCTGAACCTTGGTAACTATCCTGGCTCACTTACATCCATTCAACAGCATTTGCAAGAACCCAGAAGGCCACCATAGGTAATGATAGATGTCAAGTCATCTATTTTCTTGCCTATTTGTCTTTGACAAAAGAGGTAGGTGGGAACCCTAAGCCCAATGCACAGAAAGAACAAATTCCCTTTCATCTCAGAAGTCCAAAGATGGATGAGGGCCTCATGGGATCATCCTGGACTGATTCCCAGCTTAGGAGGTTTCCTTTTCAGAAATTTCTCATGAGAAAGTAAAATTCCTGATAAAGCAATAAAGGGAAACTTCCACTTAGCTCTCTTCTCTGAATTTCAGCCTCTGTATTCTCTTCACTTTTAACACATAGGGCACAAATTCCCCCTTTACCCTAAATCTTTCTTTTTCTTTAGGTCCCTTGGCAAATCCCTCCACCCCACCCCATCCCAGGGTTTTACCTCTAGCTAAATCTGGACACCTGTCTAAAACCCATTTCTCCATATCCCCCAGTAGCAGAGTCCCTTGATGGGTAAGCCTCTTTCTGCAGAGCCCACTGGGCCAGCCGTCAGCCTTTCCAGACAACTGATAGAAAACCTGTGGAAGCGCTGGCAGAAATCTCAGTAGAGGGGATGGGTACCTGTCCTAAGCCTGCATTTCCTAAGATGTTCACCCAGAAACTGCACCTGTGCAGTTAAGGTGGCAGCCCTAACCTGGTTTCTCCTGGTTCCAGGATAATCCCAAGTACACTGGAGTCTGGGTTCTAGGGCTTTCATTCCCCATCCCAACCCCGCCCCTTTCCTCATACATCTGGGTGGCAAGGCACCTGCAGAAGGAAGTTTTTGCAGCCAGTGCTGTTAGACAGAAAAAGGGCCATGTTATCGAAATGAGTAGCCCAAGGGCACAGGGGCGAGTCGCCCTCCGACTATCAGAGAATCCTGGCCCCAGGCGCGGGTGCGGCGTGGGCGGGCCAGGAGCTTGCTCAGGAATAAGGTAGCTTCTTCCCTACAGCTTGTCACAGTGCCCCTGAGAGGGTCAGATTTCAGAGAATCCGAGCAAGGCAGAACTGGAGCAAGGGAAGTGAGGTCAGAAAACAGGTTTCCCGTGAGCTGGGGCTTGAGCAAGTGAAGAAGGGAGCCCTGGGATAACCGGTGCGCGAGTGACAGCGACGGGAGCCCGCGGGGCCTGACAGCTACCATGGGCACGGGGAGACAGGGCGAGGGGCGGGCACAGAACGTAAATGGGGCCGACCGCCGGGAAAGGAAGCAACCCGGAGGCCGCGTCGATCCTCCTCCCCGCCCCCATGGGTAACCAAGCCCCCGCCCGCCGCCCCTGGGCCGTCCCGGGAAGCCAGGCGCACCTCCGTCCAGCCGCCGCTCCCTCCGGCCTGGCCCCACTCACCCGGGTCGGCTTGGCCCGAGGCCCGGTGCCTCCCTCCCGGGCACCGCCTGCCCCTCCCCTCAGCCCTCTGCTCGCGTCTCGGAGCCAGCGGCCGGCTGAGGCGGCGACAGGCGGAGACGGCAGCCCAGCGGGCGGGGCAGGCACAGGAAATCCCCGCCCGCTTCCGGGGCTCGGCGGCGGCGGCGGCGGCGGCGGTCGTGGCTGTGGCGGCGGTGGCGGCGCAGGGGTGGGGAGGCAGGGAGGGAGACAGGGAAGAGGGCGGGGCCGCAGCTCCGGCGTCCCGGAGCAAGCGGACCCGGGACCTTGGCTTCAGCGGCCCCGACGAAGCCGAGGGCTGAGGTACACTGAGGGCGGCGGACGCCTGGATCCACGCCTGTGGTCTTCGCTCGCCCGCACTCTTCCCTGACTGACCATTTCCGTCCCGGCCATGACCTCCCATGGGGTTCTTTGCACATGGGTTCATTAATTACCTGGAACTTAATAACCGCCTGTTATAGGCCAGGGCATCGCTGAGAGCGATTTCTTGAGTCAACAGTTTGGAATTCCTCGAGGAGCTTACCCTCTGGGTTTCAAGATAGCTGGGATAAAGGGCTTGAGAGAGTTTCGAGGAGGAGTCACTAACTCTGACTGAAGAATGGTCAGGTTGACTTCACTAAAATGTTGCTATCTGAAGTAGGCCTTGAAGATGCATTGTCCGATTTGCTGGAGCCCACTAGCCAAATGTGGCATCTGAGCTCTCGAAATGTGGGTAGTCTGAAAAGAGATAATAAGTTTAAGATTCATACCAGATTTAGATGACTTAATTTAAAAAACGTAAAATAGTGCAAAAGCGATATTTTGGGTATACTGAGTTAAGTATATTATTAAAATTATTTTCACCTACATTTAACTTTTTTAATGTGGCTACTAATAGTTTTTAAATTATAAATGTGCCTTGCATTATATTTCTGTTGGACAGTGCTACCTTGGAGCATTAAGATGGACTTGACTGGAAAAGATGAGAAGGACCTACAGAACAGAATAATAAACCCGTTACTGTTAGAATCTGTTTATAACCTACAAATTACATTCACATTCATTATTTCATCATCACAGCAATTTTGTAAAATTTAATAGACTTAAAAAATAAGTGACTCACTTAAGGTCATATGACAATCATAACTTGAATACACATTTATTTTCTATATGTGCCAGACACTGTAACTAAATCCTGGGAATAAAAGAAGGGATTCTCAGTCTGTTAAAGTACATGTGAACAAATATTTGTAATAAAGCATAATAGATGCTAAAACAGAGGAATGTACTTTGCACTGGGGGCAAAGAGAAGTGACCATGTATCGGAAGGCCTCACAGAAATCTTGAGGCAGAGAACAGTGGGGAGGATTGTTATAATGAGAAGAGGAGAATGTGCTAAACATGCAAGTGGCAAAGGATAAGTATATTCTAGGAGCAGATCATAGGGTATGTGGGAAGAGTAGTAGTGCCAGAATTTGTACCCCAGGTCCTGGAACTAAATCCAGGAGTTCTTTTCACTTATGCTACTGCAGTTGATAAATACAAGGTGTACTTATTGGGGTAGGCTAGCAAAACCATTATCTCAGTGGCTTACCTCCATGAAGGCTTATGTTTCATATAAGTCACAGTGGGTAGAAGGTTGGTTGGGCCAGTGGGTGGGCTGTCTGCTCCTTGCATTCATGTAAGGATAGGTTCTTTGCATCTGGTTGGCTCTCACCATCCCTGTGGCCTTGGAATAGTTCAGTTTGTGGGCTTTGGATAAGGGAGGAGAGCTGTGGCTGACTTGGTGATAGTGGGGGCAGTCCTGGAAGTGGCGTACATCATTTTCACCCCATTCCCTTAGACAGAATTCATGTGCATGGTCATATGGCCCCACTTAACTACAGGATGGGAAGTAGTGTGTATGCCTAGAAGAAAAGGCAATGGAGTCTGATGAACACTTAGCATTGCCTCTGTCACATTGTTAAATTGAATATAACCAAGCATCTAAACCTGACTTTACCTAAAAAAGAGTATTTGGGGAAAGCTGGTAGATACTATAACAGCACAGGCTTTCCTCTCTTTTTCTTTGGGAAACAAACCAGTGAGACTGTATCCTTAAAAAAAAAAAAAAAAAAAAAGAGGCCAAATAGGCTTTGGCCTAAAGCAAGAGATAGTGGGTCATTAATATTTAATAAACATGTACTTCATGCCAGAACCTTATCTTAAGCACCACAGGAAATAAATGCAAACTTTCTTTACATTATACTTTGATGTTTCCTCTCTTTAGCTATCAATCAACAAACTCTGTGAGGTGTAGCTATTATCTCTATAGGGGTTCAGGGGTATTAAGTGAGTACAGTCAGGAATTGAGCCCTGATCTGAGTTCTAACCTGGTGCACCTGTCACCTGAGTGGTACCTTATCTTTCACAGGAATTATATGGACAAGTACAAACTCCTGTGCAATGTTACAAGGTAGGGTAATTAAGTATGCAGTGAGTAGCAGGTGGATGATTCCATCCTTTTAAGACTTTCTAGTAGAACAGTTTCAAGATCAGCTTTGAAGGTGAAATGTAGGAAGGGCATCCCAGATAGCATCAGAAGGCAGAAATGGGCATGCTGTCACATGCTGTGGAATGAAGAACACACAGGTGTCAGTCTAGAGTATAGAAGAAATGAAATAGGGAAATTGATAGAAATAATAAGGGATCAAGGGTTTTTCATTTGCTGTGTCAGGTGTTAGGGAGTTACTATATTTGTGTTTATAAGGAAATGATATACCTGATCGTTCTAATTATATCACTGTAAGAAAACATGGTGGTCTTGGGCTGCCCCATTGATGGAATTCTGACAACAATAGATTGGGGTGAATTGAGTCCACAGCTGGATTCTAATGTGTGAAATATAGAATTCCTTAGGACACAGTAGTGTTCTTCCTGAGGTTCCGGGAGAGGTCCCAGACATTTAAAGTTTCAAGTTTTCTATAAAACTTCAAAAGACTTTAAAAGATTTAGCCTTTTGCTTAGCATTGGTTCCTTCGTTTCTGAACTCCTGTTCTGCTGTGGTTTGAATAAGAAAGTACAATGCAAATATTCACCAGTTTAGGAAAACATAGTGTTATAAAAGTTCTTTTATTAATCAGTTGATTGTAATGAATTACCAGCTTAGCTTATAAAAGGCTGTTCAAACATAATGAAACTATACTTTCAATGCTAATTTAGAAATGGACCACCATATAATACTATTTTTCTTCCAATCAAAGTTTCGAAGCTTGATGTCAGAGGTGAATTTTCTATCAAAAGGGCAGTGGAGATAGTTGCTTCCTCTTTGTCCATGGCTATAAAGGCAGGGGAAGGCTGAGGGAAGTCTTGAGTTAGGACTCCTGTGTGTAGGAAGGATAAAGGCTAGTCATTAGTAAATATTTATAGCTAATGTAGGGTACTTTACAGTTTACAAAGTGCTTTTGTGTACATGTGATCATCATTCAGGGAGGTAAATTATTTTTATCCCTAGTGTACTGTCAAGGAAATAGTGGTTCAGACATTTAAAATTCTAGACCCATCACTTTTAATTTCTATAATCCCAGGCTGATTTACCTATATAAGCCTCAGTTTCCTAACCTATAAAATGAATGTCATTATACCTACATCATAGGGTTGATGTGAGAAGATACTAAGAATTCAATAAATGATAAAGCTGAATAATGGGTGAAAAGAGGGTGTTAGGAGGATGATAGGCAGTGCAAAAATGGGATTAAAAGATAAACTTTATTTCTGATTCTCAGTGAAGTAGAGCAATTGGTTGGAATGGAGTGAGCTAGAGGTGTAGGGGGCAGAGTGAGATGCCTCAACTGGAAATTGGGGAGGGGTTGCAGTTGTTGGTAGTAACTAGGTATAGGGTATGATGGTGAGAATCAAGTGGCTGAGGTGGTGGGCATGATAATTTAACGTAAGAGAAAGTCAAGAAACCGAGAGGCTAGGGTGTTAGCCAGAATAGTATTCAAAATTTTTAACTACCACTACTAGCCTGGACTTGGACCCATCAAAATAGATGTAACCTATAGCACTGGTGCAGGGTTCTGTAGGCACTTTGTTCTGCCAGGTCATTCCCTTTGGTTTCTGAATCGTGGAGAGGTCTGGTGAATCCTGGTAGAGAGATCAGAGCACTGGGGCATGACATCCAAAGGGATTGACAGTGGATATGAAGATATTTCAGTATCTTGGCAAGGAATACAGTCATACTTATGTATTCTTGTATGCGTGATGAGATGGATTGTCTACATGGATGTTGAAGTTACCAGGAATGATGATGGGGTTATGGAGACAGGGATAGTAAGACAGTTTATGGAGTTCCTAACGAAAGGAGAATGACCAAGAGTGTGATAGGAGATATTAATAATAACAAAGAGGTGTCATATGTGGAATGGCTTGATCACATGTGCTTTATTTTAGGGAGGAAGGAGGAAAATGGTGCTTGAGGCAGAAATGAGGAGCAAATAGAACACTTACTCCACTGCTAACACTAGATGATGGAAAGCAGTTTCAAATACATATTCAAATCATGTTTTTGAATATGTGTAGTATATATATTTGTGTGTATATGTATGTGTTCAAAATATATTGTTACGATATATAAGAAACATGTTTTTTACATTGTGATCCAGCACACGCATCATTTATGTAATTGAATATATAAATTTTATATAATCTTTATAAAACAATATTTACCTTAACTACACACAGTATCTGCTGGTGTTTTCTATTCTGTTACCTCATTTAAAAAGTTTTCTATTTACTACCTGCTAAATTGATTTCACCACTCACTAATGGGTTGCAATTAGTCATTTGAAAAACCTTTGTATATAGGTTGTAGAATTAAAAAGTAGCCACTCCTTGAGAGGGCTACAAAGGAAGCCTGCTTTGTTCTTAAGTGATAGTCAGTTTCAGTTAGATAAAGGAAGTAAAGGAAACATTCATCAAAAAAGTTGAAGGACATAGGGATTTTTTTTTTTTTGATGACAGTTACAACAGAAAGTCTTAGGGGTTGTGTTGGGGTTGAAGTTTGATTCAAGTTAGGCAATTGTAGGGGACTGTAATAGGGTAAGAATCTCTATGATGAGGGATGATCTGGTGACCAAGGATTATTCTTGTGGTGAGTGTGGTAAGCAAGGATATAGGGCATGATAGGATTAGAGTAGTCTTCTAGGAAGGTAGATAATCAGTTCTAATAATAGCCCTCTTCTTGGGACTGGTCTCTTAGTCAGCTTATTAGTGGTGAGGTGAGAAGTAAGGGTTGGTTGGGCTGAGTAGAAGTTGTGTGTGTGGTAGAATGAGGGTCTCACTAGAACTGTGCCGAGCTCTGTGGGTCATCTTTCAATCCTATGTGGACAAGATTAAGACTACAGGAGAGCTGTATTTCCAGAAGTGTCAGAGCTCGGTCCTTTACATTTTACTTTGTAATGGGGGTGGTGGTGGTGTCAGGCTTAAGAAATTCCATGGCCTACCCTTAAATCCTACTGTCCTTGATGTTGAGGGAAAAGGAAGGAGTGGCTTTACCAGGAGGTAACAGTTTCTTGTGTACTCTTTAAACAGGAAAATTTTAATTAAAAAGGCAATGCTAAATTAAGTAGTGGGAAGGAGGGTGTGGTGGAAATAGCACTAAATTAAAAACCAAAAGATATTTCAGTCCTGGCTGTGCCTCTGGGTGGCAGATCATATCCTTAACCTCATCTATCCAATTGGTACATCATTCTTCTTTT